ATTAAATTCCAGTGAAATATATTTATGTTTGTGGTTGTAATGTGACAAAATATGGAAAAGTTCAAGGGGTATGAATACTTTTGCAAACCACTGTATAGGATTAAAAGTACCGGTAAATTACTGAAGATTAAACCCAAGAAAACTTTCCTCTTGTGCCAATACTTTGTTCGGCCCAAAGACGAAATGTTTTCACGCATTCCTGTCTTCGTCTGACCRTTCTGTCTCCCAAGCAGATAAAAGAAACAAGCTTCCCCCTTTTATGTCTCCTCCTTATGCAAGCCCATCATTAGCCTGCTGGAAAAGGCAATGCCTTGCGTAAGAAGTCGGGGAGAGCAGGGCCTTGGCTGATTCAAACCCTACAGAGTTCACATCGCTGTTCTGCAGAACAATAAAAGAATTGGCAGCTCTCAGGACTCTAAWCTCCAGTGTCTGTTTTAGCTGACTTGGAAAGCGTGTCTGAGCGAGTGCTTCTGGTACCTGCAGCCTGACGGCGTGCTCGTGTTTCCTCTTCATGTCGTTGATGTGCCAGGCCACTCTCTGCATGGTTTCGATGGCTTCCTGCACGACCTCGTAGATCTCCGTGTCCTTCTCCATATGGTTGGCTATCTCCTGCACCAAACGAGCTTCACGTTAGCATTGGCACTCGCGCGTAAGTGTCCATCGCTACGCTCACAAAAATGCAAACGGCGTGAACATCGACAGGAAAATGCCCACTGAGCTCCATCTGTCTGAACAGTTGGCTCCTGCAGAAGCCGAGTCAAAATGTGTGCGTTTGCAACAATATAGATAAAATCATTAGATTGCTATTGCAAGTGTGTGCATGTTTTTAACAAAGGTTGTTTTTTTTTTTTGGAAAGTCGTGTGTCTTTGTGAAGACAGCTGGCAGACAGACTTACGTGCAACAGGAGGTGGTACTTAAGGATCCGCTGCACTGGCTTGAGCAGGTAGGAGCCCAGGGGTAAGGAGTGTCTCAGAGATTCCTGGCGCTCACGGAAAAACTTGGCCAACGCCTTGTTCCTCATGCACTCGGTGAGCACAGCCACTGACCTGTGGAGGCAAAACACGGCGAATAAGATGTCAGACTTGGTAGTTAATCGTAGGCTGACAGCTAGGTGAAGATGGAGCTGTTCAGTGAACGATCAAAGAAGAGTTCAGTGTTTTTAGCTGCTTGGAGAGAAATGTACGGGGAGCCGCTTGTAAAGTTACACAGTCAAAAATTACCACCAATATTTTAGTTTTATTTAGTCTTTTATAAGAAAAAAAGAACAGATTTATTTTTCAAAGTCA